AACCGAATCCAAGAGCACATTAGAAAAATTATCCATTATGATCAAGTCGGCTTCATTCCAGAGATGCAGGGCTGGTTCAACATACGCAAATCTATCAATGTAATCCATCATATAAATAAACTGAAAGAAAAAAACCATATGATCATCTCACTAGATGCTGAAAAAGCATTTGACAAAATTCAACACCCATTTATGATAAAGGTGTTGGAGAGACTGGGGATACAAGGATCATACCTAAATATAATAAAAGCAATATACAGCAAGCCGACAGCTAACATCAAACTGAATGGAGAGAAACTCAAAGCCTTTCCACTAAAATCAGGAACGCGACAAGGCTGTCCACTCTCTCCATACCTCTTCAATATAGTGCTTGAAGTTCTAGCAATAGCAATAAGACAACATAAGGGGATCACGGGGATTCGAATTGGAAAGGATGAAGTTAAACTTTCGTTATTTGCTGACGATATGATAGTGTACATAAGCGACCCCAAAAACTCTACCAAAGAACTCCTACAGCTGATAAACACCTTTAGTAATGTGGCAGGATACAAGATCAACTCCAAAAAATCAGTGGCCCTCCTATACACAAAGGATAAAGAAGCAGGGAGGGAAATCAGAGAAGCATCACCCTTCATGATAGCCACAAATAGCATAAAATATCTTGGGGTTACTCTAACCAAGGAAGTGAAAGACCTATTTGACAAAAACTTTAAGTCTTTGAAGAAAGAAATTGAGGAGGATACCAGAAAATGGAAAGACCTCCCCTGCTCTTGGATTGGGAGAATCAACATAGTAAAAATGGCAATTCTACCAAAAGCAATCTATAGATTCAATGCAATCCCCAACAAAATCCCATCAAACTTCTTCACAGACCTTGAGAGAACAATAATCAAGTTTATATGGCAAAACAAAAAACCCAGGATAGCCAAAACAATCTTATACAATAAAAGAACTTCTGGAGGCATTACCATCCCTGACTTCAAACTCTATTATAGAGCTACAGTATTGAAAACAGCTTGGTATTGGCATAAGAACAGAGAAGTCGACTTATGGAATCGAATAGAAGACCCAGATATTAACCCACAAACTTATGAACACCTAATTTTCGACAAGGGAGCTAAAGGTATACAATGGAAGAAGGAAAGCATCTTTAACAAATGGTGCTGGCATAACTGGATGTCAACCTGTAAAAAAATGAAAGTAGATCCATATCTATCACCATGCACAAAAATCAAGTCCAAATGGATTAAAGACATCAACATTAATCCGTCCACTTTGAACCTGATAGAAGAGAAAGTGGGAAGTAGTCTACAAGATTTAGGCACAGGAGGCCTCTTCCTAAGTAGGACCCCAGCAGCACAGACCATGTCAACTTTCTTTTCTGGAGTTTTTCAGCTCACCTGAGGCTTTGATGTCATTAATCCCTCAATGTAGGAGGTGGGCCCGCTTGTTTGTCCTGCCTGCCCAGGACCGAAATAATCACACAAAAATCATATTCACTAAAAAACTGCTTGCTCCACTGCTAGCTTCTTGTTGGCTAACTCTTATATTAATTTAACCCATTTCTATTAATCTCTATATTGCTTATGACTTACCGGGTAAAATTCCCAGCATCTGTCTCTGGTGGCTCCATGACTTCTCTCTGACTCTACTTTCTTCCTCACATAATTCAGTTTCATCTTCCATGCCTACCTAAGTACTGCCCTGTCAGCAGGCCAAGACAGTTTCTGCAATCATTAAAAGAAGGCAACTAAACATGATTAATGAGTTTGATATAGATTAATGTTCTATATCACACAATTTCTTTGTCATCTCACAAAACAACTTTTTATTGTTCAAATAAAAAGTATCTTTAGAGTCGACAGTACAAGTATTTCAGAAAAAGAAAAAAATTAAAATCATATTTGTTTTAGCTTTTGCTAAATTAGAATAATGCTGTTCCAGAACTTAATTTAGTTTTATATTTTATGAAACATTCTAAATATTTATAGAAATGTATACATGGAATAATCATTGTATTCATAATAACCCAGATAGAGAAAAATAAAGGTTAAATTGTGATTGGTTTATCTTATTTGATTGATTGAATTCTGCATAATAATTATAAAATCAGAACATCAGTAAAAATGTAGAGTGCTACAGCTTCCAAAATATACCTAAATCAACACTGACTCTAAAATGAAGGTACTGCTTCTCTCTTTGGGACTGACTTTTGGTGGTGTGGGGGGGGGGGTTATGGTTGAAGTATGTTAGAATTGTCCTTGGTATCCTATCACTTGTCTGGATAGATGGTCTTTCCCAAGGTTATATGTGACATGTGAAATCCTGTGGTGTTTTCAATGCAGAACAAAAGTTGTGGTTTGGGACTCAGGAAAGAGCCCCAAGGTGAGAACAGGCCTCCCTGGCAGAGAACAGAATTCTCTTTTCTAATAACTTGTGTGTATAGCCTAGAGAATTATCTATAACAGGCATATGCTGGATTTTGGATGAGTGAGTTAATTAAGCAAAGCCAATTAAAAGAAAAAGTTGGAAGATATTGATACATAGATGATAAGTAACACAATAACATCATATCCAACACTCAAAACATCCAGCCAAAATAAACTTTGGCTTTAAGACAAACAAACGTGGCTCCCATTAGATAGTTTCAGGCAATGGAGAGTGTTCCCTCAGCTGAGACTTCTAAAGAAAATAAGACATAGCAAATGAAATAATGCCTTGACATGTAGTATTCACAGCATCTAGCAGAAAAGTGGCTGGGGAAGGTGAAATTGTCACCTGGAGTTCCCAGTTGAGATTTCCCTCAAGAAATGAAATCCTCATGGATGAAATATCAGCCCATCTTTCTCACTTTCAGCACCCTTACATCATTGGATAAATAGTAATAATATCTGTTGGAAATGTTTTGCCTTTTACTATTCTCAAGAATGCTGTGTTTTTGCTCTTAGAGTGTTTGTCTTCCCTTGTCTCTGAATTAGAGGGGAAGCCCATCCCCAGAGATGTGACTTGGGAAGTCATTTAGAATCAAACATGCTTGTGGAAGAAATGAAGGGAGAAAACTTACTCACAGAGCCATATTACTATTGACTTCTAATAGCCCATAGATATACATTTGCCAGTAAAGTACATAGCCCATGAAACACTACTATTATCATCCACTCTACACAGCCACACCCCCAGGTGTTTGCATTCCTGTTGCTCTTCTTACTTGAGCTCATCTTTGCAACCAGGAAGATCAGCCAGTGTTCCTGCCCCAGGAGGTAGGTGCATTTTTTGACTCTTAGAAATTGACTCAAAAAATTCACATTCTATTCTTTCATCTATTCTTTGTATATTTTTCAAACAAATATTGTAAAATAGTGAGAATTTCAAAAATTCACTGATTTTCATCTAGTTAAGAATTGATTTAGGAGATGGAGGGTGGTATTAGACCTTCATACTGAAGTGCCACATGTCTTTCTCTTTGATCCCTAAGGCTAATGATATGTAATTTCCTTTTCCTTTAGGCAGTTATTCTAAAACTTATTTCCTGATATTGATTGATTAGTGTTGTGGCACTCAACTCATTTACATTTTTTTAACCTACCTAAACTGTTTTATCTGGCTTGGTTCCTATGAACAGATTTTGGAGGAAGGTGTCTTATTGTATAACTAGACACTAATGTAGAAATCAAATAGACAAGGGGAAGGGAGAGAATGGGGAGAATTCCTGATTAAAACATAGATTCTTCTCTGCCCAGTGACTTTCATAACACAACAGAAAGGCCTGTACTAGTCTACAAGCATGGGTTAAATAGTTTCATGTCTGCTGAATTTTGCATTAATTCTGAGGTGATTATACGCATGTATGATCATCTATCACAGGGCCATGCATAGGCTGAATGTGCAATTGTGCAATAAAAGTCAAGAAGAGTGGAAAAGTTTGAATGTGAAACAGATGATTGTGATTCAAATAAACGCATGCTTTGTAGGTATTTATGCATATGTATCAAAAGTTTTGTAAAATGATATACATGTAGGATTATCTTCTTAGTGCTAGAATTTAGATAAACTTTAATTTCTGTGATTTTATCAGACAGATTAAGTGTCAGTTTCAAGAAGATCTGCAGAACACTATTGTTCAATGTTCATTGCTCAGAAAGCTCCTTACAGAAGTTTGAGTTTTGGCTGCCTTCTGTATGTTAGATTTTATATTACTTGTCTGTATCTATAGTAGCCAGATTAAATATTAAGAGAAGAATCACAGAACCAATACAAATAATAGGTACTTATTTTCATCTTCGCAAATGAAAATTTAGTATTTTTTTTAGGATTCATTTGAAAGTACTCCAGACCACCTGGCCTAAGAAATACTTTCTGCATGGAGCTTCACTGAACTCAATGTGATAACAGGTCAATCTTATGGAGAAATGGATGCAATATGGGCCTAATATTGTTAAAGCCTGATATTTGCTATTTGTTACTGCATAGAGTATTTGTAAAAGTGAGTATGTTTTAAGAATTCAAGACTCAGATACAGATCTTCAAATTTTGTACAGTGACCTGAGGAATTATAACTTTCCTTAAAGACAATGGATGGCACCATACAGAGCACACTTATATTTATTTTAATTGTAGAAGTAATAATAGGATGCTTTGGAAATGGATTCATAGCTCTGGTGAATTGCATGGACTGGGTCAAGAAAAGAAAGACCTCATCTGTGAACCAAATCCTCACAGCCTTGGCTTTCTCCAGACTCGTCCTTCTTTTGACACTACTCGCTTTTATTTTGGTGTCCATGCTGTACTCAGACCTGGTGACAACTAGAACAGTGATAAAACTAATTAATTTTCATTTGATTTTCAGCAACCATTTTAGCATGTGGCTTGCTACATGCCTTGGCCTCTTTTATGTTCTCAAAATAGCCAACTTTTCTAACTCTATTTTTGTTTGCTTAAAGATGAAAGTTAACCAGGTGGTTTCAGGGACTTTATTCATCTCTCTGGCCCTCTTGTTTCTAAATACTCTACTAATTAACTCATACATTGATGCACAGATGGGTGGCGACAGAAAACATCTGCTATATGATTTCTCTTCAAATAGCTCTGCAGAATTTTACAGGGCTATTTTAGTCATTAACAATGGTATCTTCACTTCCATACCCTTTACACTTTCCCAGTTAACTTTCTTCCTGCTCATCTTCTCCCTGTGGAGACATCACCAAAAGATAAAGCAGCATGTTCAAAGATGCAGAGATGCCTGTGCTAATGCCCACATCAAAGCCTTGCAAATAGTGACCACCCATGTCCTTCTATGTGACATTTTCTTTGTGGCTCTTTTCATCCAAATTTGGAGAACTGAGTGGTTGATGAACATTATTTATGTTAGATTATGCCAGATTGCTGCATCAGCTTTTCCCTCAGGACACCCCTGGGTCTTGATCTGGGGAAATACAAAGCTGAGACATGCCTCTCTTTCTGTGCTGTGGTGGCTCAGGTGCAGGTTCAAAGATGTTTACCCAACAGATCTCTAAAATATATTGGAGTTTATTTTTCTTATTCTAGAGGAATAAGAAATTCATGAGAAATTCATTCAGATTATTACTTTTTCTCTCAAAACATTATTCATCCTATAATGCTTTATAATTTTATATGTTATACCTAATGAAAATACTATGCAAATAACTTGTAACATTAAAGAAACATAATATGCATTTGAAAAATATATACAAATGTATAGCCTAAAATTATTAGGCTGTAATATATAAGATATAGCATGCATCTAATATAAGATTAGATGCACTAAAATAAATTTTTGTTCCAAGTATCATGAAGCTATTTAATTATTTTGATGATATCTAAGTACTAGTTTCAGAATTAAAATTCTTAAAATACATATATTATTTTAGCAATATAAAGTGTTTATTTGCAAATACATTATTTTTGCATGTTGTTTCAGCTATATACTGTAATATTTTTAATGTTTAATAATTAAAATAAAGTATGGCTTATGATAATTTCTGGAAATGCTAACTAAACATTGATGTTTTCTAATATTTATGTCATCATGTACCTATTTTATAACATGATGGTTATAACTGTGCAGATTTTAAAATGAATAGAAATTTACAGTGTTTTATGAGTGGCCAACTCCTAATCAGCATGAATTCTTTTTAAATTATTTTTTATGTGTACAGGTTTGTGTATGTATGCACATCCATGAGCACATATGCACACAAATATATAAATGCAAAAACACCCAGGTGAAGGCGAGATGATTGCTTGCAGAAGTTGGCTCTTTCTTTCTACTGTCTAGATTCTGGAGATCAAATGTGTGTGTCATCAGACTTGGCAACAAGAACCATTGAGTCAACTCACCAGTTTGAATTAATCCATTTTTGTATGTTCTTAATATTTTGTAAATAGTAAGAATTAAATGAATATGTAAATATATGTAAGTATACATATAAATGTTAAAATGTTCTAAGACACAAGACAGAGGAAACATGTCGTGTGCCTGCATTCCAGATATTAAATGAATGGTAACATATAATCAGGATTATTTTAAAATTAAAGAATTCTTTAACATATGAATACTATGAAATAAATGGTAACTTCCATACTAGTGGGCAATAAAAAGATATATTAATATTTATTTGCTGATACTCATGGCTATGACCTTTTGCATGCTCAGCAAACATGCTTCCACCAAGCTACACCCTCAGTAGCTCACCCTCAACATCCTTACAGTGTGAGCACTAACAAATATTTCATGTGAAGAGACCAGTTTCCAAAGGTTAAAGCTCTTATGCTATAATGTGTATAATAATGCATGTAGCAGGAAGGTTTTATATCAAATTCACATGACCATCAATATGAAGAACAGGTTACTAGGCACACCTAGAGTCTGGTAAAAAAAAATGAAGTAAAAGAATATGCAATTTTCATGATTGTATTAAGTGATTATTTTTCTTTTAATGATTGATGTATGGCCAATGTGTATACAGAAAGCACATTGACTTTTCCTAATTTCTATTGTTTCTTTTCCTAATTAGGAGCCATCATCCTTCTATATTTGCTGTGAGATTTAAATTCATTTTCTTATTCTTTACATATAGACCATTATAACCTACGTATCATTATTTATTATACTCAATTATTATATAAAGTGCCTTGACTTATATATGGTGATAATTATGGTGATAATAATAGCTCTGCTTCACAATGGAGGCAAGACTAGTGTTTCATTAGTCAACATAATACTGACTTTAGCTTCGACACTAATATTCTTGTTACATTTTGATGGAATCTTTAATTTTTATATGAAACCCATTATTTGTATATTTAACATACTAAATAAAACTCTGTGAGTTTCTTTTAATAAATATTTATTTATTTTATTTTATGTTAAGTTTATGTATGTGAACCACTTGTACACAATACTGAAGAAGTTCAAAGAAAACAAGTTTTCCTTGAAGTTACAGTTTATTGTGAACTACCATTTGGGTGAAGGGAACCACTTTCAAAGTAGAAAGTGCTCTTAATCCTGAGGCATTTTTCTAGACCTGGTGATATGGGATGTCTTTCTGTATATGTGTTGCTTTTATTGGTTGATAAATAAAACTATTTTGGCAACTGGCTTAGCAGAGTAAAGCCAGGTGGGAAATCTGATCAGAAATATTAGGCAGTGTCAGAGAGACATCATGTAGCTGCCAAAGGTAACAAACACCAGAGTTAGAACCTTACCAGGTAAGCCACAGCCTCATTGTGATACACAGATTAGTAGAAATGAGTTAATTTAAGATGTAAGAGTTATTTAGTAAGAATAACTTACTAAATAAGTTTTTTATTAGTGCTGGACTGCTAATAGGTCCAGCAGTATTGTATTAATATAGCTTCCATGTGATTATTTTGGGTCTGGGCAGTTAGGAAAGAATGAACAGTCTCCATTTACAAAGGGTGCATCAATGTAGGGATACTATGTCAAAGAAAACTTGAGAGAGCTTGGGAAGGAATTCAAGACATAAAAGAGCAGAGCCAAGTATAGCTTCTTGGGAGCTGCTTTTTTTCCCAGATAGGTTCTATACAGTTCGCAAACAGAAGTACAGCTCCTTTAAGAAATGGTGACATTCTGGTTTGTACTGGCAGCACAAACTCTGGTTCTTTTGGGAAGTCCTGCACTTAAATGGCATTTGTGAGCAGTATGCTACTATTTGCTTTGTGGTGTTGTAGACTGACTGTGTCCCTGGAGCTGGGGTAGTGTGTAAGGCTCACAAAGGTGAAGAACATGCCTCCACCATGTTGGACTGGGCAGAGCAAACAGGCAAGGCTGTGGAAGTCGGTCTTGGAGATGCCTGCTTAATACTAAAAAAAAAATAAGGTGCTTCTGGTCAGAAAATGATTAAAGACATGCAATAAAGAAAGATTCAGATGAAAAAAACCTCTGAATGGGTCACAGTTTTAGATAAATATATGTAGGCTTTAAAGAGACAGTAAAATTCTATAGAGAAGTACAGGCAGTCATAGATAAAAGTAATAAAGAAAAATAAGCCACATAAAGATGGAGTGCACACAGAGAGTATTTTATATATATATATATATATATATATATATATATATATATATATATATATATACATATATTATTGTGTTTTCTTTGAATCTTTTGACTTTGGAGAGACACGATTTGGGGGACTGCTAAATTAATTCAACATAAAGGTATCTTGGCTTCAAAATTGGGGTTTAAGGAAATGTTGCTTTGTAAAAGAGGTTCTGTTTTGTTCCCACAAAAGATGAGAAGCTATGGGTTCCTTCCAGGCTAATGTGGTTTGATGAAACAAGACCTGAAGAACAATTTCCATGAACCCTAAAAGTGCTTTGCTAAACAAACAGCATGGAGCAGTTTGAAGAAAACACGGTCCAAATTCCCAAAATTAATATTTATAAATGTATGTTTTTATTTAAAGGGGAATATGATATAGAGAGGAATTCTTTGCATTGGTATGGATCTTGGTTTATTGACACAAATTTAAGGTCAATATTTTTGCACCATGTATATGTATTTTTGCTCTTGTTTAAGGTTTTATGTTTGTGCAGCTTATCTAAAGCTGTAATGTATAATTAAGAAATACAAATTAATAATCATCTGTAATAACCAAACTTTTAATTATATTAGTTAGGTTTTCTAGATATACAGAAAAATATTTCAATTGGAAAGATTATCTTTAATACTTTATAAAACCATGGAATATGGCATTTAAAATGTTTAAAGAACTTAAGACTTTTTTTGACAGTGAGACATGTCTGCTTCTGGTAGTACCAATTATTTCAAGAGGATGCTGAGCATTGAAGAAGCTTCTAATGGAGTTTGCTAGCTATTCGGGCAAGAAACTGCTCTTGTCTGGACTACTGGATGTTATTCTGTATGAACTAGACATGCAGGATCCACCAAAAAGTAACTGTTGAATATTCCAAAAGACAGGATCATCCTTCAGGGTTCTTGCTTCACAAAAGAAACTGCCAGACATTGTGCAGGACATAGAAAAAAGTGACTGAAAAACTTCCACAAATCTTCACATTTCCTGCTTCATTGAAAAGTCTGCCAGATATTATAGGCCTGTAGGCTGAAGATTGATACCCCAATGCTACAGAAGAATTTTGGGTGACTGTCAAGGCAATGAAATGTCTCTGTCAATTCTAGAGTTTTAAACATTGTTTACAATGCATTTTCTAATTATTTAGGTAATATCCTTCTAGGGTCTTTGAGAAATTGAAGGCAAATAGCTATAGTTATAGTTTTCCTTAGTTATGATAAAAGAAATTAGATATCAAACTTTAGACTCACAAAGATAAAACAACTGATAGAATATTTTCTTTAATTTTGCCAGATATAAATAGGCTAAATGTTTTAGCTATAATTCTTATTTAATAACTTTTTTGCTCTACGTAATTTACCATATTAAAGTTAAAAACTTCCTTGTTATTTAGACATTAAAGGGGAGATAATGTGGGATGTCTTTCTGTATATGTGTTGCTTTAATTGGTTGATGAATAAAGGTGTTTTGGCGAATGAATTAGCGGAGTAAAATCAGGCGGGAAATCTAAACATTCTCTCTCTCTCTCTCTCTCTCTCTCTCTCTCTCTCTCTCTCTCTCCCTCTAGAGAGTAGGTAGAGTCAGAGAGATGCCATTTAGCTACTGAAGTAGACAGGCCAGAGCTGGAAATTTACCCAGTAAGCCACAGCTTCCTAGTGGTGCACAGATTAATAGAAATGGGTTACCTAAAGAAGTAAGAGTTAGTAGTAAGAAGCCTGAGCTAATAGGCCAAGCAATATTTTAATTAATATAGCTACAGTGCGATTATTTTGGGTCTAGGTAGCCAGGAAAGAATGAGCATATTGCATACCGGGATATTCTTTTTAAAATGAATTTATTTTACATCCTAACCACAGTTTACCCTTCCACTTCTCCTCCCACTCCCTCCCCTACCTCCTTTCCATTCCCACTCAATCCACTCCTCCTCTGTTTCTGTTCAG